GCCAGGGATTCCCACATCACCAAGGGATCAGAAACGATGGCTCTGATGGTTTTGACATCCCACCCACTGCGCCCACGCTGCTCCTCCAATTAAGGAGCTGTCACTCACTTGGAAGATCTCAGGGGCTGGAATTTTCCTTTAAACTCAAGACGGTTCCCAGAGGGACAATGATAATTATGACTTCTCTATGCCAAGAGGAGGAAAGTGACCCAAAACCGCAGGTCGCTTTGTTGCTTTTCTAACAGAAGGGGGTGTACTCGTGTTAAAATAAAACCTGGCTATGCAAAGTCCAGCCGACCTGTGAGCAGGTCACCTTAGCATCTCAAAGACACTCACAAGCCCTGTGCCCTAACCAGCATGTGCTGACCTTGCCCTCCAAATCTGCTCTTTCTGCTCTGGCCATAAGCCCAGCAGACATTCTGAATGACCCCAGCCAAGAGCAAGAGTGACCAGCTTCGGTTGATTGTGCTTTTGTGCTCAATTTGTTTTTTATCTGCGTACGTCTTTATCCGACCTCAAAGGAAAGTCACTAACTCTCTGCTGGACTAGCAGGTTCTGCCTCCCCAGCCCCCAGCACCTGTCTTCAGGCTCCAGTGTGTTTTCCAGCCCAAGACTTTCAATGACAGCCCATCGACACTTCAAGCAGTAGCATCCTTGGTTCAGGGATTATTTTGTTCAGTGTACGATGTTTAGCAGTGTCCCTGGTCCCTAACCCTAGTAGCACTGCCAGATGTGACAACTCAAAGCACATGTAGATATTGCCAATGTCCCCAGGGCCTTTCGTCTCAGCCACATATTCAAATCACCTGGGAAGCTATTTTAAAAAGACCTTCGTGTGTGGTGGCGCACGCCTGTAATTCCAGAACTCAGAAGGCTGAGGCAGGAGGATCATTTCAAGTGCGAGACCAGCCTGGGCTACAAAGTGAGCTCAGGGCCAGCCTGAACTGCATAGTGAGACCTTGTCTCCAAAAGACAAGAATAAATAAATAAATAAAAATAAAAAGACCAATGCAGCTGCGTGTGATGACTCATGCCAGTAATCCCAGCACTCTGAGAGGCTGAGGCAAGTGGATCACAAATTTGAGCCCAGCCAGGCAGTTTAGCAAGACCCTGTCTCAAAAATTTTCAAACAATAACAAATTTTAAAGGGGCTGAGGATATAGCTCAGTGTAGACTCTGGGTTCAATCCTTGGGCTCCACCTAAGCCCAAACAAATCAGAAACTCTTAAGGACAAGGGCTTGATATCAATATTTTTAAGGGGTAGCCGGGTTGAGAAACACTTACACCCTGTCACTGGAGTTACCCTGTAGCATGTGAACAAACTCACCTTATTCATTCTTGGTTTTAAAGCATCACCCAGCTACTCAACAAACATCACATGCTTGGTATACCATATGAAACCCCCCAGGTCTGGGCTCTTGTAACCAACCACCCTTTCCATCCACCCACCCTAGAGCCATCCCTTGCCCTCTCCGGGGGTTATTCTAACCCCTGAGAAGTCATCTAGATCACACATCTGTGTTTTGCATCTGCCTAAATGTCACCCTCTGCCCATCCTCCTGGCCAAAAAAGGTCTCATTTTTATAACTTGACTCGGTTGCAGACGCCCTCGTGAAACCTACCCCAGGTAGACCTGACCTCTCCCCTTGGTATATCCCCCAGAGCGGTCTGCCACAACCCACACAACTCATTCCCATCTTTATTCAGACAGCTGACTTTCTCTACAGCTTCTTGGTGTCCCCAGCACCTGCATGTCAGTGCTCCATGATGTGTACCAAGTGATAGAGTGACCCCACCTCTGCCCAGATCTCCTCCCTATTTCTGTTTCTGTTTGTGTCTTCCTTCCCAAGAAAGATGCCAGAAGGTACACAAGAAAGCAAACGTGCCTCCCTCCCATGGCACCAAAAGAGTCAGCCCCGTGGTGAAACCCAAGAGCAGATGCAGCTGGTGGGATAGTAGCCTACATGTCACAGAGGTGTGCAGACCAGCACCAGAACAAGAGCCTCAGGAGCCCACTTCCCTATGCTCCCTGGCCCGCTGTGTGTGCTTAGCTAACTCCTCAAAGCTCTTCGCCAGCTCGGGATTCCACCTCTTTCCAAGCCTAGGCAGCCCGGTAGGGCAGCAGCTCAACTGAAGGGTGCGTCTCCCCAGCAGCTGCCCCAGCTGAAGTGACGGGGGATTAGGGATTCAAGAATTACAGAAGCAAAGGCACTTCCCGAGCTCAGTGTGAGTGGTACAGTACACTGAGTGAATTCTCTCAGCTCAGGGAAAGAAGACACCACATGCATTCCTCTTGCTCACACCAGTCGTCTTCTTAACTTGCAGATCTGCCCTCTCGCTTGCCTGTTCCAACTCTCCCTACAGGACAAAATCAAACCACCACCAAAGGGTTCCAAGGGCCCACTACAACCTCCTCTATCTCTACCTACCTTCCCATCCTTCCTTTTATCCTTCAAACTCCATCGACTGCAGAATAACACAGTATGTCCTCAACACCCTCCCCCCACCAGATTTCCCATGCCTCGGTGCCTCGGTACCCACTGTTCCGTCTGTCTAGAGCATCTTTCTCTTTCTCTCTGCCTGGAGCCTCCCATTTATTCTGCAATTCTCAGCTCTGTGTCCCCCAGAAGCATTGAGTCAGGGCTTCCCCCAGCCTCCACTCTGTCCTATATCACAGGAAAGTTCATAGCCTTGTATCACATTTGAGGCAGACGATGGCCACTCTTGCATTTTTCTGGTTCGATCACTTAGTGGTCGTATCACTTAACCTCTCTGATCCTCAGTTTCCTTCCCTGTAAAATAATGAACGTAACCACTATCTTATGGAACAGACACCATGAGGCACATCAGCCCCTTGCTGAGGACACGGCACACATCACAATATGCACTGGTGCGTGGAGATCACCACTTGCACCAGGTGCTCATTTCCGGTCTGCGCCCTTCTTTAGAAGGTTGAACATCTAGTCCAGTTGGTTAAGTCTTAAGGATCCACCGGCACAGGCTCCTAAGACCTGTTCTGCACACCTTTGCTCTGGCTCCTGCTTGAAGGTGCTCCTTGACATGACCAAGGATCTCCCAATATGCAGGCAGGATCGTTCCCAGCACAGAGCAGAGAAAGCAACAGTGGACATGGACCACGTGACTCTCTGTGGGCACAGAAAGAAGTGATCTGCTCAGGGGTCAGCACAACCTGCCTTCACAGAGGAGGGGCTGATAAGCCGGGCACAGAAAGATGAGGAATGCGAAGTGGGCAGAAGGGAGAAAGAATTTTCTCAGAGAGAGAGCCCGAGGTGTAAAAGGGCACCATGCTCCTAACGAGGTGAAGAAGCCCTTCAGCTGAGAGCACGGAGTGCCTGCGGTCACTGTGTTCTGCTTCCTGGAGGGCAGAGGTGGGAGGCAGGTAGGAGGTAAAGCAGGAGACGGGCAGCGCAGGACCCTACGCAGCTGAGAAGGGCAGGCTGAATCCTACGGCGGGGGTTTCAGGTTGCGGTGATCACCCTTGGTTTGGGGAAGGAACCCTGTGAGTGTTCCAGTGTGGAGGTGGGAACGGGGTAGCAGCTCTGGATGGGAACAAAGGCTGGCATGGAAGGCGCAGTGGCCAGGGTGGGGAAGAGGGGAGACAGGGATGGAGGTAGGAGAGGCTGGGGTCAGGGGAGAGGCTGGTGTCAGAGGGGAGGCTGGGGTGAAGGCGAAGGAGGCTGGGGTGATGGAATAGAGGCCCAGGTTGGAGGTGACAGAGACGGACTAGCAAGACGTGAGTCCCAGGGTAAAGGTAAAGGGAGAATACCAGGCAGCAGTCAGGACAGGAAAGGAGGCCCAAGATTCGTTAAGGAAGCTGAACGTCTCCAGACAACCACCCTCCGAACCTCCAAGCCAGACCTGCTCTGCCTGGAAGGAGGCACTCTGGGATAAAACCTGGATGATGAAGTTTGGCTTCAGATATTGGACTCAGGCAGTTTGTTCTGCTTTCAGGAACTGGCAGCTTCAGCGTGGGTCCTTTCAGGGTAGGACAACATTCCACCTGTTTTATGGACAATCCTTACACTTCTACCGGCTGGAATGAGCCCAGCGCTCTTGCAACTGGTGGACCGAGTATGATCGACTGCAACGGTGTGCCTAGGACTGTCCAGCTTTTAACATTTAGCAAATCAGGACAGTGGGTCAGTTGGTCACTGACTGCACCAATTTGCTGAGCTCTGGGAGCTCAAGGCAGGGCCCGGGACGTCACAAAGCATTCAGCTAATTCCACTCAACAGGATAAGCCTAAGAAGATGGACACTGCGCCGTGCCAAGTGGCTGCGGGTAGGAGGAAAGGTAGACAGATGACCTGCGACCTAATCCCGGGTGGATCTCTCCCCGAACTCGCTATCCCAAAACCCCCAAATAAAATGAAGCACCGTGTCCCCAAATACCTAACTCCACAAGTGCATCCACCTCTGGACATTCTGTGCTTGGTCTCTCAGTCTCAGAAAGCTTTCCGATCATCCTGCGACTAGCACAGGGATAGATACACAGATACACATCCTCAAAGGAGGGTGTCAGGGCATTGTAAGTCAGGTGGCCCTCGATCCTACAAATCACAACATTTTCATGGTCTGTGTGTACGCACAGTTTAAAATAATGCAGTTTGGGATCAGAAAATGGCCCAGGATGTTAATTTAATAGCTGAGTGTCTTAGAACAGTATCGGCAGACAGTCTCCAACCCCACACACAGCCGGGGCTGAGCTGCCTTCTGGCACTTTCGTCTCCGAGTAACAGGTTGTTTTCAGCCTCCCGCGGACCATCGCAGCTGGCTGCAGGTCCTCCACTATAAACAGTTTACACAAAAACCTTATTATAGCCCGTAAAAGCAACACACAAGGCAAATAAGTCATTCAATGCAATCCATCAGCGGACCGACCGGAGGGACGCTGCCCTCCCGCGCAGCATCCCCGCGGAGGGTCCCCCAGAGTTGGGCCCCGCCCACCTGCCCCGGGCCAGGTGAGGGCCCCGGCTCACCTTCTGCAGAAATGCCATCCTCGGCCTGTACTGCTGGCCTTGGTGTCGGATCGTCATCCTGGACCCTGGATGAATTCGCGATCAGAACACAGATGCGAGGGAAGAGGAAAAGCCCCCCGCCGCAGCCGGCAGCCGGGACCGCCCCGCCTGGGCGTCGCCGCGGAGGCGCAGAGCGAGCAGCGCGCAGGACCCGGGCTGCCGCCGGCCGCCCCTCGACTCTCGCTCGCACCCCGCCGACTTGCGGAGCAGCTGGAAACCGCGCCAGCCAATCAGCGAGCGGCGCCGCGGGCTCATTAGCATAGGCGGCGCGCACCCACCTGCCACCAGGGGGCGGCGTCCGGCTCTACCTGGACCCCTCGGAGCCTCAGGTGAGATCCGCAAGTCGAGGGAGGCGCGCAAGAGGATCTGTCACTAGGAGCGAGCCTCCTACCTGGGTGGAGCTCAGCACAGACGTGAGATAAACAGTCCTCACTAATACAGCACGGTAGAGATGCAGGGATTTTCCGTGCCAGCTTTGGGACCAAACAGCTGCCGTCCTTGGGCAATTTTCTTAAGATCTATAAGAATCAATTTCCTCCTTGGAAAGATTAAAAAAAAAAAAATTAAATGAGATTACAGTATCCAAGAGAAGGGTTCCTCTAGCACTTAATGGAGAAACGTGTAACATAGTGCTTGGCCCTCAATGAGACAGAGACAGAGAGAAAGAGAGACAGAGAGAGAGAGAGAGATTTATTAACCAAATAAAGTGTAAGATGCTGGTTTTAAAAAGGAATTTAAAAGGAAGACAGTGAAGAAAGAAGAGGAAGGTTGCAGTCACTGCTGAGCCTGCTATCTAGCCTTAAGCAAATTGTACTGCATTTTTCTGATCCTTAGTGCGTGTGTTTGTTTTCAGTAGACTTTAATTTTTAGAGCAGTTTTAGATCCACAGCAAGATGGAGCAGAAGGTATAATGTAGAGATTGCGGATATATCCTCTCCCCACACCACACGTCCATAGCCTCCCTCTATCACCAACACCCCTCCCCAGTGTGGAACCTCAATACAATCAGGGAACCTACACTGAAACAGTGTTATTTTAGAGTTTCATCTCTGGAGAAATGAGAGAGTGAATTCCCCCAAGAACCATCAAGTCCCCTTCAGCTTTGTCATATAGAGAACTTTCTCCTGTGTACACAGGGTGGATGGATGTCTAGGGTGGCAGATACAGTGCTTAAATTGGAAAAGAACAAAGAGAGATCTGTCTTAGGAAGAAATAGTCAACCACTACCCTTTAAGTAGAATTTTTAGCTGGGCATGGTGGCACATGCCTGTAATCCCAGCATTTAGGAGGCTGAGGCAGGAGGATCATTGTGAGTTCGAGGCCAGCCTGGGCTACAAAGTGAGCTCAAGTCCAGCCTGAACTGCATAGGGAGACCCGGTCTCAAAAAAAAAGGAGATGTTCTATCTTTTTTTTCTGTCAAATCATGAGACGTTTAATCTTTTTTTTTTCTTTCAAGTCATATTTACCTGCAAGAATCTGATGAAAGCCATGGACGCTGTCTAGAAACATGCTCATCTGCACCCATGCATACACACACACACACACACACGCACACGGTAGTAATTCAAGTTTGCAGACAATTTCAAGCGATTCATTGTTGGTTTCCTCCAGAGTCTCTTCGGAAACCCCTGCTTTACAGCCTCCAATTAAGAGGACCTGGAATTTGCAGAGGTTCATCTCTACAGAGGACTCGTGATCCCCCCAAGTAAATCAGGCCTCTGAGAGCTAACTTCCTGGTGTGAGCCAGGAGCCCAGGAAAGTGCTAGAATATCTTGACATTTTTTCATGGAGCATCGTTTGGACCTAGTGTTACACGAGAGGCACACGAGCCAATAAACCCTAGGGTTTCTTCCAGTTTTGATGTTCATTAATTCTATGAATCCTAAACGGAGAGAAATTATTTTCCCGAGATGAACAATAAAAAAAAATTATTTGTGAGCAAAGATGAGAAAAAAATACAAAGGGTTTTTCTTGGCAGTGGGGTAGGAGTGACCTCAGAAACCCATCAATGTCCTGCCCACCCTTCTGTATACCCTTGGAGCACCATTCTGTGGACCCACCCTTAGCTTACTGGCCTAGGGATGCTGGGCTTGTGACCCAGTCAATGATAACTTGGGCCAGCTAGATGTAAAGTCAGGATGAGAAGAAGCTGCAGCAAAATGCAAACAGAAAGGAGAAAGCAAAACTGAAAGGTGATCAGGGGAAGCCAATCAGAAAAGGGAGACAAACAAATTCAACAGGCAGAGGGACCAAGAGACAACAGGAAAGGTCACTCGGGCTAAGGTGGGTCATGGTCTTTCCAAGGGCTGGGATGCCCTCGTCAATCTTTCCACATTCCTGAGTTTTGGTTTTTTTTGCAATCAAAACACTCTAATGTATTATATGTTAAAGGTTTATTAGTGTCCCTAAACCTGAGGCAATAGTCTATGTAAACAGAAAACAAACATAGATCCAGTCTCTATCTCAAGGGGTTCACCATTTAAGAAGGAAAGAGTAATTCCACAAAACACTATAAAACAATATCTAGATAGGACAAAAATCCAGACAAACAATTCAGGGCATTGTGGAAATGAGGCTTACCCAGGACAAACTCAGGGACCCTTCCTGGAGGAAGGGTCTTAAAGGAAAGTGGGCAGTCAGCCAGGTGAAGAAGGCAAACGGAAGTATTCCACAAAGAACATCACAAGAAATGATGCAGAGGCATGGCTCGGCATGAGGGGAGGGTGCAACAGGAATTCACTGGACACCAAATGTCAGGGGTGGTACAGTTCGGAGGGGCTGGGTCTGGAACTGAATGGGAAATTGCGTAAGGGAGTTTCCTAGAGTGACAGGAGTGTTCTATTTCTCAGTGGGAATGGTGGTTATATGGGTAAATTAGTTGTTGGAACAACCGAATAGACTTTTAACTAAGCCTCAACAAAGAGACTGACCCAGGTAATGAATATCTTCTTGCAATAAGACAGGGGTCACAGTGCTAACACAAAGCCCTCCTTGGGGCTGGGGATTTAGCTCAGTGGCACAGTGCTTGCCTAGCAAGCTCGAGGTCGTGAGTTCAATTCCCGGTACCGGAAAAAAAACGAAAAAAAAAAAGGCCTCCTGTGACTCAGTCAAGTAAGTGGATATTCCATCATTATCATCATTACTACTGTCCTCGGTGTCCTCCTGCTCATCATCAACAAAAAGGTGCAATTCAGGACCTAAGTCGGAGTCACGCAGCCCTGGATATTGTATGGTGTGATCTGCGTGACCCTGGACTGTGACCTTGTAGAATAAAATCTCATCCAAGTACAATGATTTGTCATACACGCACCATAGGAATGCCCTTTAACAACCAGGTCTAAGGTCTGCTGCATAAAATGTCCCAAACACCCCTTGTCAACCCAACCACTTAGTTCAGTCCACTGTACCAAGCCCTGGGAATGTCAGTCTTAAAAAGGTGCCCTGCCTGCCCTTGAGCCTCTCTCACTGTGGGAGGGAAGACAGAACCTTGCACATCATGCTGATGTATCAGATTACTGCTAGACAGAGATTTCCATGAAGGGGTTTCTTAGAGGTGGGGTGGAGTTGAAGAAGCCATTAGGGGATGTGGGAGCACCCAGAGAAAAACAACCGCAGGAAGCCATTATTATTACCTACACCCCAAGGAATGGAAAACCAGAGGTCTGTGGGAGGGGTGATCTTCTTAGAGAGACACAGCCATGGTTAGAGGGAAAGCTAGGGGAGTGTGGCGGATTGACAACTGGTGGTCAACCACTAACCCCAGCTGAACTGAACCAGCATGGTGGTGGGTGTGGGAGGCCACCTGAGGATTGTTGCTCACAGCATAAGAGGCAGAACTGGAGAGGAAGAAGCTGTAGGGAGCTGTTGGTTTTCCTGGAGAATCTTGTTGTGCTGGCTTTCCTGATGAACTTGGCTGCTCTCATCATCGAAGGAACTCGGGACCTTACCATTGCTGAGAATGGCTGCGGTTCATGTTGAGGGAGCTCTGGTCCTCACTTTGAGTATCGCTTCCTGGCTCTGGAGGGGAAGATGGTGCACTGTTCATTCTCCTGTCACATTTGCTGTCCTGATGGGAACTCAGCTGTTCTCATTGTCAGAGGAGCTCAGGACCTCACTGTTGCTGAGGATGGCTGTGGTACCTTTTGGGGGAGCTCTGGTTCTTACTTTGAGCATCACTTCCTGGCTCCAGCGCAGATCCCTCAGCCTGCTGGCACAGATCCTTCTTCCCGCTGGCATGGACTTTCTAGCTTCCACCACTGACCTTTGGGCCTTCCCAGTGCAGATCCGTCAGCAGGCCTGCATGAGGCATTGTCGTGGGCTCTTGGTCTCCAGTTGGACTCAAGGGTGGAGTATTGCCATGGGCCCTAAGTCTTCAGCTGGACTCATGCAGGATATTGCTGTGGGATCCAGGCCCTCAGCTGGATTTTTTTTTTTTTTGGTCTTTACTGTGTGGACAGATTTCCTGCACTCTTTTTGTATATGACTCTTTGGGTAACTATTATAAAATAATTCTATAAAACAGGTGTCTTGTATTCAATTGTTCCCCCTTGCAAAACTCCAAACTACAACAGCAAGTAAATACTCTGGTTCTTGTTGCCTTCTATTGTCCAGTCCTGATTTAAATCCAGACAGCAATGGATCCTGAGTGAAGCTGTCAGTTTTGAGGGGTGGAAAGGGTAGCTAACTGGGAATGAAACTCAGGGCCTTTTCACTGAACTACATCCCCAACTTTTTTTTTAAAACAGGGTCTAAGTTGCTAAATTGCCCAGATTAAGCTTAAACTTGTGAACCTCCTGCTCCAGCCTCCCAGAGTACTGGGGCTACACCAGTAACACTTGAAAGCTACACAGAAAAAAAAAAAAAAAAAAACTGTGTGTGAAGAAGCAGCACAAAGGGGTGTTACAGCTTAGATCTTGAAGGTGCCCTAAAAGTTTCCTGTGTTCAGAGGTTAACCTTTGGGAAGTGACTGGACGTGGGGATGCTGTCCTCACCAGTGGATTGATCTACGGATGTGTTCACAGCTGAATGCACCGTTGAAAGGTAGCCTGGTAGGAAGAGGTGGGTCACTGGACGCATGGTCTGGAAGGATGCATCACCCTCCCCAGTTTCTACCTTCTCTTGGCCACCATGACACGAGCAGCTTTCTTCCGCCAGACCCTTCCTCCATGCTCTTCCTGTCCCAGCCACCTGTCTGTGGACGGGATCC